TGTATCCACCCATCCATCCACTCACCTGCCCATCCACCCATCCAGCCATCTATACCTCTGTCCACTCATCCACCCATCCATCCATCCATCCATCCATCCATCCATCCATCCATCTCTCCACCCCTCCATCCCTCCATCTATCCACCCATCCACCCATCCATCATTCAGACATCAACTGAGCCAGTAATTGTTGATAAGTGTTGGGTACAGAAGCTGCCATAAATCTATAGGTTCTTGACCATGAAGGAGGTTATGTGTGCACAGGAGGCTGAAGTACGTGGTGGTGAATGGGCCATGGGACTTGCATACTCTCTACTCAAATAGCAGAGTGAGTGAGAAGTGGATGTGAGTGCTTGGTGCTGAGTGCCGGACCCATGTGTATCCCTGGCCTCCTTCCCGCCCAGGGTACCTCCCTTGAGAACCCCTTTCCCAGCACAAATGGAGAGACTGATGAACCAGGGATGCCCAGGGTCCCCGCTGTGTCTCCAGGAACAAGAAGGCCCACACCAGCTGGAACATGGGTGCCATCTTGGAGGGGGACCGGAGCGGCTTTGCACACCATGGGCCCAAGGAGCAGCTTTCCAAGGAGATGATCCTGCGGGCCGAGGAAGGGGACTACGATTGGGTCTACAGGATCCTCAGGGATGACCTCGCCAGTGCCGATGTGGCCGATGCCAAGGGCTACACTGTGCTCGCTGCGGCCACCGTGAGTCCCAGTGCCGGGTCGCCTCCCCTCAGTGGGGCCACCGTCCTCCAGCAGGGGCCTTGCCGGGATGCCTGCCGTCCTCGTGAGGCTGGCCTTCTCCCTCCAGGTTCACTGTCACACTGACATTGTCAGCCTTCTGCTGGACAGCGGGGCCGACGTGAACAAGTACACGGACGAGGGCCTCACGCCGCTCAGCATGTGCTTCCTCCTCTACTACCCGTCCACGTCCTTTAAGCCCAACATCGCTGAGAGGATGGCGCCCAAGTCCCACGTCAGCCCCGTGGGCCTGCGGCTCCCAGCACCGTGCCCCGTCTGCTATCCGCCTGTCCGTCTCTCCACCCAGCAGTGCGCCTCCCCCTGCCTCGCACAGGTCAGGTTCAGATGGGGTGAGCAGACACTGAGGCCTGCGGGCAGGGAGTCGGAGGGGGGGACGGGGCCGGCATGACATCTAGGGATGTGTGTCCCACGTGAGCCCCGTGCGCAGTGGTTGGGGCTCTGAGACCCCTCCTGCGGGCTTCAGGGAAGGAATCACAGGGTCGGGGAGTGAGGGAAGGAGTGAGGCCCGCCTTTGCCCATCGTGAACAATGTCGCCTGGAGCTTCCCCAGGCAGGCATCGGTGTGAGCTGCTCCCCGTGGTTTTGGGTATAGGCCCAGCAACAGGATTGCTGATCACACGGAGGTCCCGTGTCTCATTCACTGAGGAACCACTCTGTCGCCACGGTGGCATCTCTTGGCGCTTGGTTCCAGTGCGGACTGGGGGCCTCCCAGCCCGGGGCGGGCGATGCCCAGGGGCTGGCTCCCTACAGCACAGGGTACCCTGGTGTCTGTCTTCTGAGCACCGGCCTGAGGGGCAGTGCCTGCAGGGGGCACGCTTCCGCCCCTCAGGAAACCCTGGACCCTAACTGTCAGCCCCGCGAGGCCGCCCGGCCTTGACAGCTGCCAAGAAAGCCTTCGGAGGGGCTGGGGCCTTCTCTGAGCGTGGTCGGGGCCCCTGCCGGGTGGGTGAGGGGACGGCACTGGACAGTGTCCCCTTGGTGGGGTCCTTCCCTCACCTCATCACGGGCTCCTGAATCTCTTCCTTGGGGAAAGGCTCTTACTGCACCCCGGCCTGTGCCCGTGGTGCACAGCCTCCCTCAGCTGCCAGACGCTTCCTGAACCTCTGCCTCTCCAGGGCCCCGGCTCTCCCCGGCCTGTGGTTCTTGACGTGTGGCCGCACCAGGTCATCAGAGTCCAGGGTGGGTGGGGGCGCACCGGCCGGGGCCCCCGCGTGTGGTGAGCAGGTGCACGCGGGGAGCCCGCCGGAGGCCCTGCTGCCCTGGATGGTCCTGTGTGCGGGAGGCGGGGCGGGGGGGGGGGGGGGGGGGGGGGGGGGGGGGTGGTCCCTGGGAGGAGGGAGGCGACATCCCTGCAGGAAGACTGCGGTGGAGGGTTTGTTTTCATAGCAGCGTTAACGCGTGCCTTGTGAGTGCCCTCTCCTTCCTGGTCAGAGGTTGTTACCTCAGAGTCACGACCAGCTTTCAGTTTCAACGTGATCATAGGAACGGGGACGGGGGGAGACTGTGTCGGTCCTTGTGTTGCCCCTCGGCCGGGAGCTTCTGGGGACAGGGGCTGACTTTGTCGCCACAGCCCCTCCAAGCCCAGAGCATCCTCCGGGGGGGACCCTGGCCGCAGGGGAAGCCTCAGTCATTATTGGTGAAGGCAGCGAGAGCCCCAGAAAGGGTTTTATTTGTACACTGAAAACACTGGTAAAAATCGCTCCTCTCCTCTTCTTTGGAACTTCTTATTCTGGAAAACATGGCACGCACACAGAATAAGCGAAGACGGTGGCATGTGTGGGAGCTTGCGTGGACCCGTCACCGAGACTAAGCAGCTGCCAGCACGCGGCTCGCGCACCGCGCCCACACCCCCGCCTCCCCCGCCAGCTGCGCTCATCTCAGCGTGGACTCCCCATCGGCCCGCTTCAGCCAGAGACGACGGCTGGAGACACACTCTTCTCTCTCCCTCTCAACACACCGCAGACACTAGCATCTCACCTGAAAACTTTGTTAAGTCCTGTGGGGTCCCACCCAGGCAATTTTCCCGGGCTCCCACGTAACCTTCCTTTTAGACTGGGGATAAATGAATCCAGACCCAAACAAGTTCACACACCGCACATGCTTGAGGAGAATTACTCTCTCCCAGCCCAGGGCAGGCTGCCCGCCCTTTCCCGAGTCCAAGGAACCGGGTGGCTTTCCCGTGCCGGGCCTCACCGGCCGCCTCCGGGTGGGCAGCACACTCCTCTGCCACCTGCACCCTGTGCGCGCCATCCCGGCAGAGGGCCCCGGCCCACGGAGCCGCCTCTGTCTGCCATCTGGCCCTTTACAGATGTGGGTCGCAGGGGGTAGGGCCCCACTGCCAGGGATCCTGCCTCCCGGCTCTGGGACGGGGCCCAGGATCTGCATCCCTGGCCACGAGGATGCTGCTGGTCCCGGGACCACACCGGGGACGCAGAGGCTGTGCGTCGGGCTTGCGGGGCGGCCTCCGCGGGCAGGACCGTAGTGAGCCGCGCTGCTGGTCGTGAGTGTCGCGCGGATGCCTCTAGGAACCACAGTAAAAAGAGGTGGAACAGGTGGAATTAATTTTGACGCATTTTATTTCACTGGTGTCTCCACAATTTACCATTTCATTGGGTCATTAGTGTAAAGACGGGAGGGCAGTCTGCATTCTTTCTCTGGCCACGCACACACCGGTTTGGGATGGGCCTCACGCCGAAAGCTCGGTTGCCACGTGTGGCTGGGGGCTGCCATGTGGCTCAGGTTTCTGTGTGAGGCCCCTGAGATGCGTGCTTCCCTCTCTCGGTTTTTGCAGAGTGCTTTAGCATGGTCAGCTAGAGGCCTTGAAGGTCACTGCCAGCCTTTAGGGCTGGTTCATTGGTTAGATAGGATTGTCACTCTGATTTCTTTTCTTCTTTCTTCTAATTTTCTCTCTCTCTCTCTCTCTGTCCCTCTCTCTTTTGGTACTTTCCAAAGGAAGCTCCAAATATGCCAGTAAATCCCAACCTTGCCTTCTCATTCCCTGAAATGGCCATGGAGTCCATCTATTTCAAGGACCTGGCGCCCACCCCAGGCAGCCAGGAGCAGATGTCCGTTGTGTGGGGCAGTGAGGAGGACCGTCTCTCCCTGGGTGCCCGGCTGTCTCAGGAGTCCCCCGACCTGGGGAGCAGCCCTCGGAAGCAGGACTTGTCACCGTGGGACAGTTCCAGTGACCTGGAGAAGGGGCCGGATGGCACGGAGGGGAGTCTGGACAGGTGCGCGCTGGGCAGCCAGGAGACGGACTTCGAGTCCGCCGTCTGTGTGCGCAACTTCTCCTTCGGGCTGTCCCGGGACCTCCTGGAGAGGAGCGCCCAGGCCCACAGCATGCTGAAGCCCCCCTGCTTCAGTGCCACCGGCTTCGACAAGGGCACCATGAGGAAGATGGCACTGGCCGCGGTGGAGTAGGTCGCCGGGGTGTGGGCGGCGGGGCCGAGGGTCACTTCTACGGGTGGATCTCCCGCTCGGTGGGCCAGCATCACCTCCCTGGCCACCAGGAGGAGGTGTTTCCAGAGGTGTGTGTCCCACACCCCCCGAGCCTACAGGGGTGCCGTGGCGCCCGTCCTGCGCGCTGCCTCCAGGGTCTTAGCGTGGGCATTCTGTGCATGGCTCAGGGTTGGGGCCTGGGTGTGACCTTAGGGGAACGGTGGCAGTGAGAGGCTAGGAGATGTGCCCTGTGGCTTCCAAGGTGCAGGTGCTCATATACATGTGCCCCCCCCACACACACCTGAACACCCGCACACACTTACATGCACCTGCACACGCCCACGGACACGCACTCTCCCAACCCGCACCTGTACAGCCATGTACACTCATATATACCCGCACACATATGTGCCCAGTGTGTGTGTATACGTGTGTGCATGTGGATGCGTGTGGTAGCCATGTATGGGTGTGTGTGTGTGTGTGTGAGTGTGCTGTGTGCGTATATGTGCATACGTGTGTTCTCTGTGTGGCACGTGCCCGTGTGTACACACGTGTGTGTGTGGTGTGCACACGTGTGGTCGTGCGCGTCGTGTGTGACGTGCGTGTGTGTACGTGTGTGTGCTGTGTGTGTGGTACCTGTGTCCCTGTGCAGTGTGCGTGTTGTGTGTGGGCGTGCGTGCCTGCGTGTCTGGGTACAGTGTTGTGCCCTACGTGTGCTGGGCGCTCTGTGTCATCCGTTTACAGCCACCCCAGGAGGGAGGGCTGGTCCCCACCTCACGCCCCGTGTGGCGGATGACCTGAGCAAGGCCGAGTGAGCACGGGACACTGGGGTGGGACGGGGCTGCGTCTGGACTCCAGCCCAGCGGGGGCCGGCTCAGGTGTGGCGACGGCGGGAGCAGCCCTGGTCCAGGGCGGGGGCCAGTGGCCTCGGGGAGGCAGGGTCCTGGGTGGTTCCGGGAGAGGCCGTGGATGCTGGGGCTCAGGTGCCACACGTTCAGCGCCCTCCCGAGCCCCCTTTACCGGGGAGCGTCGGTCCCAACTGGGACCGGGGTGCTGTCCCGTGCCTGTCCCCAGCCTGTGACTGTGTCGCCCTGGTCCTTTCAGACGCAGAACCAGGTGGCTGACCATCGAGCTGCTGCTGCACCGAGGCGCGGACCCCAACCTGTGCCGCGTGCCCATGCAGGCCCTTTTTTTTGCCGTGAAGGCTGGGGACGTGGCCGGGGTGAGGCTGCTGCTGGAGAACGGGGCCAGGACCGACATCCAGCTCCCGGCTGAGGTAGGACCCGCAGGCTGGGGGTGGGGACCAGGGGGCAGGGCCGGGCTGGCGGGGGGCCCGTGAGGCGAGCGGTCAGAGGGTGCGGCGCGGCCAAGGCTGGCGGGTTCTTTTGGCTTCAGCCGCCTCCCGGTGTCCCTGTTCAGGGGCAGGTGGGTCTCGTGTGGCCAGCCCCTCGGCCGGACCGCGCACCCCTTCTTTTCTGAGCATCTGGGAACGTGAGTGCGGGACAGCGGCATGTCCGTGGGAGACCCAGGGAACCGTGTGATAAACTTTCAGGTTTACCGATTGGACTCTGCTTTGGGAACTAAGGTCGTAACCTCTCAACATGGCTCCGAAACGGTTCACTTATTCTTGCCTTCGTTCACTCCCAGTCAAGCACCTGTTACTTACACAGTCCTCCTTCGGGGGCATTGGGCTTTAGTAAACTGTAGGGGTAGATGGTAGGGGGAGGAGGAGGAGGGTGCCTGTGCCAGGAGAGCGCCTGTGCGCCGTGGACTGATGTCCTCCCGACTCTTCTCCAAGGGCGCCTCCTGTTTCCCCGAGACCCTGCTTTGCGGGTTCCGGTTGCGGGACACGGACGGCCCTGTGCCTCCGCCCCCTCGCGCTGCGTGCTCCTGGCCGGGCTCTCTCCCCCAGTCGGCTGTGCTCCCTCCAGGCTGGCCCGGGGTGTGCGCCTCTGTGTGGCCACCCCGACCAAGCACGGCCCAGCAGCCCGTGGCTCTCCCAGGGGTGGCTGGAGGGTTGCTGTGGGCGGAGAAGGACAGGCCTGGGTGGGGACCGGAGTCAGGAGCCGCATGACCATCCACCGGTGGCATCCATCCCGTGGAGGCCCGGCAGGAAGGGCGGGGCTTTCTCGCGGGAAGGGCGGGACAGCCAGGCTGTAGTGAGGCTGGCCCACCGGGGCCCCTCTGCGTCTGCAGGACTGGTAGATGGAATTGGAGGGTGCCTGTCCGTGGTCCCGTGCGGGCGGGCCTCGATGTCCTGAACGTCACGATGAGGCCCGGATGGTGCCCTGGGGTCTCCGAGAGGTGTGGCGCGGGCGGCCGTGCTCCTACCCTGGACGGGGCTCTCAGCCTGGGGGTTTTGCTCACCTGGGAGCCCGGCCTCACCCCTGCCCGTGTGGCCTCTGCAGCTGGGGGCCCTGACCCCCCTGCACATCGCAGCCGCCCTTCCCGGGGAGGAGGGCGTCAGGATAACGGAGCTGCTCCTGCACACTGTCACCGACGTGGACGCCAGGGTGGCCGACGAGGATGACGTGTACAAGCGGAGCAAGGTGCCCTGTCCTGCCGCGGGGAGCGGGGGGTGCCGCGGGCCCCAGGAGGTGCCCCTGCACACGGTGGTACCTTTATTGCCTTTGCTCTGAACGGGGTCGGCTACTGCTCCGTGTGCCCCAAAGCCAGCGGGGCCCGCCCCAGCGTGTGCGCCCCGCCGACCCTCTCCGGGGCGCGTGGGGGATGCACTGTCGCGCTCAAGAGGGTTTCGCGGGACGGTGCTGGGCCTTGCGGTCTGGGGAGGGATGCTCTTGCTGGCCTGTGGGAACCCGTCTACGTGTGAGTCTGCACCCGCCGGGTCTCCGGCCCAGCCTGGCCGGGCGGGAGCTGAGTGTCCGGGCCCTGGGGGGCGAGGCTCGGGGCCAGCGCTGGTCCCCCCTGTCTGCACAGCTGGACCTGTTGCCTTCAAGCCTGAAGCTCAACAATGAAGCGGGCCCGGCCGGCATCTACCACAGCAGGCCTACGTGTGTGCCGGATGAGGGGGGCAGGACGGCCCTGCACGTGGCCTGTGAGCGTGAGGACAGCTACAAGGTGAGCCGGGCCTTTCCGGGGCCGGGCGGCGTGCGTGTGTGGTGTGTGTGCGCACGCGCATCTGAACGTGCGCATGCACGAGTGCGTGGACGTGGGCGTGTGCACGTGCGTTCCGTGTGCGAGCTCGTCCTTGTAGGCCGGTCTGCTTGTGTCTCCGTGTGCACGTGTGAGCAGGCTCTGCCTGTGGTGCTTCGGGGACGCCGGCCCGTGTGTCTGTATGTGGTGGGGGCGGGGCAGGGCAGCGAGCCCACGGCCCCTGTCGGTCACCGTCTCTGACTCGGGACCCCAAGGCTGGGCCTGTCCTGCGGAGCCCTGGGCTTTGACCCTCCGGTGCGGGAGCCTCTCAGAGGAGGCCGAGAGGTGGGCCTGGGTGGGGGGAGCCGGGAACCAAACTTCACTCTGTGCTGTAGTGGCCAGTGCAGCCCGGGCCGCTAGGCCTCGGAGCTCGTAGTAAACTGAGCCTCCGTTTACGCAGCCACAAGGTGAAAATCACAGCCGGCTTCTCGGGTCTGTGGCACGGGTGGTTTGCCCCCGCGCAGCGTGGTGATGAGTCATGCTGCCTGTTGCAAGGGAGTGAGGGCCTGCGTGAGGGTGGGCGGGGGGCGAGGGAGCGGAGGTGGGAGGCACCCAGACCCCCCCTGCTTCGTGGCGTCCCTGGTCCGTGCTCCTCGGGCTCCGGCCACTGGGCTGAGCAGAGACGGCTCGGCCCCGGGAGGGCAGGCTGACCCGGGCCCGGGCCGCGCGTGCCAGGCCTGGGCTGTGAGTACAGAGCTTCCCACCCCACACGCCTGCATCTTTGCACTGGTTACAGATTTGGAAGCGTTACGGGGAAACAAAGCCGGGAGACAGTAGAGGCACCGTCACCATTAGGTCCAGGGTCATTGGGTCGTCGGTAGGCCAAGGGCAGATGGCAGCTTCGCGCCCCTGTTGAGAGATGGGGGCTGCCGCCGTCCAGCCGTGCAGTGTTCTGGGGGGAGGAGGGGAGGGAGAGCCCCTCAGCAGGTTTGGGCTGGCACCTACTTGGCCTGGCCAGGGCGGGAGGGGGAAGGGGCCGGTGCACGGGGTCCACACACCTGCAGGGGGAGTTGGGCCCTCAAAGAGCGCTCACTCGGGAGTTGAAGCTGCAAGGGCCACTCCTCTCAAGCGCTGCCCTGCGCGGTCCCTGAGCCCTGGAGCCGGGCCAGCCCTGCTGGGTCGTGCGGTCCCGACTCTCCCCTTCCTCTGAAAACAAGCTTCAGGGCAATTTGCGCGCCCGCGTGCCCTTCCCGTTTTGCATCAGAAACAATGTGTGTTTGGAAAGCCCCTTCCCAGTTCGAGGATCCACCCCCGTCCGTTCATCCGTCCCAGATTTGGAAGAGGCAAGGTGCTGGTGTGGAGGAGATAGCAACCAAGCGGCAGACCTGATTTTGTGGTGTTTGAGTTCGCGCTCAATGTCCGGTGCTCCTGGGAGTCCGGGCACCTCTGACCTGCCGTCCTGCCTTTCTCCTCACCCAGTGTGCCAGGGACATAGTCCGGCTCCTCCTCTCCCACAGAGCGAACCCCAACGTGCTGTGGAGCGGCCATTCCCCGCTCTCCTTGTCCATCGCCAGTGGCAACGACCTGGTGAGCATGTTCCAAACCCGCTGGCGGTTCACCTGCGACGTTTGTGCCGCTCAGGGGCCCCCGCCCTGGTCAGTGTTTGGGATTTGCTGTTGTCGTGGTGGCTTGGAGACGGCACGGGGTAAGGGGCGTGGGGGATCCCCTCTCCAGTGGATGGAGCTCCTCAGAGAAGGGTATAGGAAGGAAGGTGAGCAGTGAGGATGGGGGTTCACCTGGTGGCCGCTCCCTCAGGGTGGGTGGACCCAGTGTCCCAGGCATTGACTCCTCAGTGCACCGGGAAGGGCACCTTGGCCAATGCCCATCTCCTGCTGCTGCCGAGAATGTGTCTGTCCGCCATTAATCCATCCACCTGTCCGTCCGTCCATTCACCTACCCCCACCCATCTGCTACACATCTCTCCATCTACTCACCCTCACCCACTCGTCCATCTGCCAACCATCCATCATCCATCCTGCCTCCCTCCCTCCCTTCCTTTCCTTCCTTCCCTCCCTTCCTTTGATCTATAATCCATCCATCCGTTCATCCTTTCGCTTCACTGTTATTTTTGAGCAGCCACTGTGTGCCGGGCGGGCACCATTCTAGGCATTAGGTGTCAAATATGACAAGGTCTTTGCTCTCAAGGATCCTGTATTCTAGTTGCAGGAGACAGACCACAATCCGGTGTGTCACAGCATTTCAGGCAGTGATGAACGCTACGAAGACAGTAACAGCTGGATAAGGGATAGAGAATGATGAAGGGTTTCCCTGGGGAGGTGACCTGTCAGCAGAGGCCTGGAGGAGACAAAGGCGTTGTTGATGAGGGCTGGTGCACCTGCTCTGTGCCTGGGTGGGTAGGTGGGGCGCGGAAGCGTAGAGAGCTGCCCTCTGGGGCAAGGAAGCTCTTGAGAGAGCCCCACGGTGTGTGTCACGTCCAGCCAAGCCGCTCTCGCTCCTGGCTTCCTGGTGGCACTCGGGCCAGTGGCTGGGGACCCGGCAGGGAGCGAGTGAGATGTGCCCCACTCTGCGTCTGGTCAGGTGAGTGCAGTGGCTCAGGTGCCCGGAGGGCAAAGGCACACGGGTTTCAGGGACGAGGGCTTCCGGGAGGTGCACCAGGCGCCACACTGGCCCCTGGGCCAGAGAGCAGGACACGAGCCAGGAGCACTTTGGAGCAAGCGGACAGCGTGCAGAGAAAGTGCCAGGCCTGGGCTGCCCCGGCGTGTGTTGCAGCCCTCCCTGGGGGCCCCCCGCGTGCCCTCTCCATGCCCCAGCGTTGCGCTCTGAGCCGGGCAGCAGTGAGAGGCACAGCAAGTGCCCAGGTGGCGGCCCCCGTGAGGCCCAGGTGTGGCCGTCTCTGTGCTCAGAACTGTGGGATCCTTACTCCGGGGACGATCTCCACATGTGAGGGAGGGGACCTGGCGGGGGCTCACGAGCCTGTCTGTGTCCAGATCGTGAAGGAGCTTCTGTCCCATGGAGCTGACCCCAACCTGCTGCTGACCAGAGGCTTGGGCAACGCCTTGTGTGTCGCCTGTGACCTCACCTATGAGCACCAGAGGAGCATGGACAGCAAGCTGGCCCTGGTGAGGAGTGAGGGGCGAGGTGTGATGGTGTAGGGGTGGCCGTGGAGGGCGGCGGGCCCTAGGGTGTAGGGTCGGGGGGCCGTGTCAGAACCCTCGTTCTAGCCTTCATTCCTCTGTGATGTTCAGATCCTTGAGAAACAGTACAGAGTTCTTGCCTTTTGTGTTCTCTCGGCCTAAAAAATGTGAAGTACAAACCCACTCAGCAGGCCAGACAGAAGTCCTCTGGCTTAACTCAAGAAAGTCGCAGGCCATCACTCTGGCTGGGCTGCGGATCGTAGACCTTCCATGCGGAGCGGGCACCGGCCGGGGGTCCTGGTCAGGGACCTGCCGGAAAAGCATCTGGGGGGCCGTGTCCGGTCCACAGACGCGGCTCGTTGGTGTCGGCCCTGTTCTTCTAGGTGGGCTCAGTGTGCCCAGGAGGCGCTCTGTGCTCTGTAGGTCCCGGACGGCCCGCTGTTCCCTCCGAGTCCCTTCCTGCCTTGCCAGCTGGTTCTGCCGGCGACGAGGCATGTCCCCTGCTGCCTCCCCCTCCCCTCCCCGGGCCTTCCACGGCCCTTCCCAGAGAAGTCCCTCCCCACCGCCGCGCGGCGCGGCTCTCGGTGGGCTCCTCCCTGCCCTGGCTCCACCGAGGGTCGCAGCGTGGTTCCCTGCGAGCTGTGAGCGCCAGAGCGGGAAGCCGGAGGCGGAACGAGACCCTGACTTTCTGGAGGCCGTCGCACTTGACAGAGGCATAACTCTATGTAGAGAGAACCAAGACTCCTTTCCTTTCTTCTCGAACGTTTTCATTTAAATTCTAGTTAACGTACAGCGTGAGATTGGCTTCGGGAGGGGAACTCGGTGATTTGTCCCTCGCGTACGACGCCCAGGGCTCATTCCAACAGGTGCCCTCCTCAACGCCCCTCCCCCATCTGGCCCCGCCCCCACCCCACGTTCTCTATCCTTGAGAGTCTCTGGTGGTTTCTCTCCCTCTCTCCCCCCTTCCCATATGCTCCGCCGTTCTGTTTAAATTCCACAGATCAGTGAAATCATATGTTTATTTTTCTCTGACTTATTTCATTTAGCGTAACACCCTCCAGTTCCGTCTCCGTTGTTGCAAAAGGCGAGATTTCCTTCTTCTTGATGGCCGAGTAATATTCCGTTGCATACGACACCGCCCTCTTTATCCGTTCATTTAGCCGAAGGACACTTGCGCTCTTTCCCTGGCTTGGCTCTCGTTGATAGGGCCGCTGTACACACTGGGGTGCACGTACCCCTTTGAATCAGTATTTTTGTATCCTTTGGGTAAATACCTAGTAGTGCAATTGCTGGGTAGTTTCTTGAGGACCCTCCTCACCGTTCTCCAGAGCGGCTGCACCAGTTTGCATTCCCACCAACAGTACAAGAGGTTCCCCTCTCTCCGCATCCTTACCAACACCCGTTGTTTCTTGGGTTGTTACTTTTAGCCACTCTGACCGGTGTTTGGATTTGTATTTCCCCGACGATGAGTGATGCGGGGTATCTTGTGTCGGCCCTCTGTCTTCTTTGGAAAAGTAAGACTCCTTTTCTTGAGATCCTATTTCCAGATCCCATTTTGAAGACCCTGTTTTGTCCCGAGATTGTCCTCTGAGCACCTGGAAATGCCTGCAGATGTGCTTCTGGGGCCTCTCCGTGCTGCGTCCCGGATTCGGGGCTGGGTATTTCCGCTTGGCCCCAACTGTGCTATCTGCTTCCGTGATTGTTTGGCGGGTGGAAGGACTCTCTTTCTTCACCCTTGAATTGTCTCCTCTTTGACCTCGGAGCCTTCCCCTGGTCCCCTCAGCCTCTGATGTCTGCCTTGCTCTCTGGTGCCTCAAGGGGACCCAACACCCCTGTGGGTTCTTGCCCCTGGCCCCAAATCAGCCAACTCAGTCGGTTTTTCAATGACTTAATTACTTAAAATGTATTCACTTAATACTGCCATTGGCAGGCCTTCCTTCCCCTCTGGGTCAGTCCACGTTGCGACTGCATCCTTCACCTTCTCCTGCCCTGACCCGAGCCTGCAGCCGGCTTTAGAAACCACTGCATTTCCTCCTCCTCGACCCCTGAGCAAGTCCTTTAAGCCAGCTTCTTGCCCTTGCGACCGCAAGGTGTGTCTGTGAGGTGTGAAAAGCCCAGGTACAGCAGGGACGACGCAGAGGGCTGGCTTCCTCTCTGTGCTTCACCAGTGAAAGGCACCCCCCCCCCCCCGGTCCCAGTGTCCGCAGCTAAATGCATGCGTCAGTGGGGGAACGTGGGGCTGTCAGGGCTCTGGAACGAGAGAGTCCTTTGGTGCCTCTGGTTCTGGCTGCAAACGCGGTCAGCACATTTGAGGACAGGCTTGGGACCTCCCACCCGCTGGCACTGTGCTCTGCTGGCTGTTTGGGGACCGCTGCGCATCTCCGACCGGCGGCCCCACTCGGCTAGGAAGCGGACCATACGCAGTACGGGCGGTGTCGGCCGATGACGGCCCGGTTCGCATCGGGTCATACTGGGCTGCCCTGGGCCCAGTGGTTTTGCGGTTTTGTTAAGATGCCGCGCCGAAACTGTAACGCCACGAGACCTCTTCACGGAACTCGCCCCCTCCCTCCTCGGCGTGAGCGGGGGCACCTCTGTTGGGTGCCATTCGCTATGAATGGAACGTGGTAAGTCTCCAGCCTGAGACCTTGCTGTGGTGGGCGCCAGAGGTCCCTCACGCACGCCTACGAACCGACGCACTGCGTTTGCACGGGTGCGCCCACGCGCCCACAGTCACTGCGTGCCCGGGCCGCGTCGGGATGGGGTGGTGAGCGGGACCGGCCTGGCGTTCGCTCTCCCGTCGCTTCCAGTCTGGGGACCGGGACAGTAACAGACTCAAGTTACAGACCTGCGGCGGCTCCACGTGGGGTGTCCGGGGGGCTCCCCGAGGGGTGGCCCAGCCTGTGCTCCGCGCTGACTTCCCAGCCATGAGGTCGGCAGGTGTCTCCGGTCCGTCTGCTGACTCTCCACACGCCCGGGAGGGTGGCCCCTGGATAATGTGAGCGACAGTCCTCCTTGCTGGTGGCACCTGCTCTCCTGCTTGGGGCCCTGTCCTCGGGGCCACCCTCCCGCCGTCCAGTGAGTGAGCCTCGGAAGCCTCAGGTGACCTGGGTCACAGCACCGGGCACCCTGGTTCCGAATCCTGCTTTCTGCTGGCTGGGGCATCCATGCCCACGTGACACAGGCTCTGTTCTCCACAGATTGACCGGCTCATTGATCACGGGGCTGACATCCTGAACCCTGTGACGCTCACACAGGGGGACAAGGTGGCTGTGGGCACGGCTGTCGATTACGGGTACTTCAGATTCTACCAGGTACGGCTTTACACGCCTGTTGGCGATAGGGGTAGAGGACCTGGGGCCGTCGAAGGCTCTCGGGCAAGGCTGGGCCACAGGCCCCTCACGCCTGACGGAAGCCCCCCCCGGCCTTCCGGAAGGGAAGACGTGGGCTCCCCCAGTGCATCCTGCTGGCGTGGCTGCTGGTGTGGCTGCCTGCGCGCCAGCGTTCTGAGCGCTGTTCCGCTTTGCCCCCACCGTTAGGACATGTGCTCTCCGCCAGTGTCCCCCCCCCCCCCCCGTGGTGGCCGGCCAGGGCGGGGGCTGGGGCCCTGTGGGGTGTCCCCTCCTGTGGTGGCCGGCCAGGGCGGGGGCTGGGGCCCTGCGGTCCCTGGCGGTAACCTGGCGCTGGGCCGCAGGACCGGAAGATCGCCCACTCTCCTTTCTATGCGCTGACGCCGGTGGACCGGGAGGTCCTCCTGGCCCGGAAGCAGATCCTGGAACACATGGGCTTCCAGCTGCGCCGCGCTGTCTTCGCCAAGGAGAGCCAGTGGGACCCGAAGGTGCTGTACCTGAGCAAAAGAGGTGGGTGTCGGCGGGCACGGCCGTGCGGGCGCAGAACCATCAGCTGAGAGCCGAGCCTGCTTCCCCGGAGCGTGGGGAGCAGTGCGGGGCCGGCCCCTCAGCTCACCGGCCGGCCAGCCACGTCTCCTCTGCGTGACGGAGCGTCCCCAGAAAGGATAGAGTCACATACCCGGGATGGTGGCCTTTGTACCCGTGTCACCGAGGGCTTGGGGTCGTGACCCGCCAGGAGCAGCACAGGTCGCTGCTCTGGCTGCAGTCCGGTAGGAGATGCTCCCCTCTGGATGGCAGCTGCTGCTGGCCATATGCTGCCCTGGCCACCAGGCCTCTGTGCCCCAGCACGGCCTGTCCTCTGTGCCCCAGAAAGGCCTGACCTCTGTGCCCCAGAAAGGCCTGTCCTCTGTGCCCCAGCACGGCCTGACCTCTCTGCCCCAGCATGGCCTGACCTCTGTGCCCCAGCACAGCCTGACCTCTGTGCCCCAGAAAGGCCTGACCTCTGTGGCCCAACACAGATTGACTTCTGTGTCCCAGTCACCCAACCTCTGTACCCAGGCTGCCTGACCCCTGCAGCCCGAGATTTAAAAAACAGTTTCATTTACGACATCAGTAAGAATAAAATACTTATTAATACACTTAACAAAAGCAGTGCGAAACTTATACTCTGAACACTACATTACTGAAATTAAAGGAGGCCTCGATAAATGGAAAGACGTCTCCGTATCAGAATCCCATTGTCTACTTTGTACAAACCGAGAAGCTAATTTAAAAACTCACATGGAATTACAAAGGTCCCAGAGTAGCTATAGCAATCTCGAAAGAAAAGAACAAAGTTGAAGGACTCGCTTCCTAAATTCAAAATGACAAACTTACTGCAAAACAACAATACAAACAGTGTGGCGGCACAAAGGCACACACGGAACAATGGATGGGATACAGGTCCCGGAAGGAAGCCCACATGTATGTCCGTTAATTTTCAGCAAGGGTGCCAAGGCTTTTTAGTGAGGGTAAGAACACACTTTTTAATAAATAGTACTGGGACAGCTGGTTATCCCGACACAAGAGAATGAAGTTTGACCCTACCTCACACCATATACCAAATTTAATTCAATTTGCATCGAAGACCTAAATGTGAGAGCTTAGACTGCAAGTCTCATGAAAGAAAACATAGGGACAGGGGCACCTGGGTGGCTCAGGCGGTGAAGCGTCTGACTTCGGCTCAGGTCACGATCTCATGGTTCATGAGTTTGAACCCCGTGTCGGGCTCTGTGCTGACAGCTCAGAGCCTGGAGCCTGCTTCGGATCCTGTGTCTCCCCACTCTCTGTCCTCCCCCACTTGTCCTCTGTCTCTCTCTCAAAAGTAAATATTAAAAAAATTTTTTAAAAATGGACAAAGAGTATGAATAGAAATTTCTCCAAAGAAAGATACACAAATGGGCATGAAGCACATGAAAAGATGCTCAACATCATTAGTCATTGGTGACGGACAAATCAAACTGCACGGAGAGAATCCCTTCGCACCCACCGGGAGGACTGTAATCAAAAAGCAATGCGTGTTGGCGAGGATGTGGAGGAAGCCGTCGTTCGGGGCTGGTGGGAACGTACCACGGTGTAGCATCTTGGGAGAGCAGTCCAGCTTCCCTCGAATGTTAGTCGTGGAGTTGCCGTATGACCCAGCGATTCCACTCCCAGGAAGAAAGGCGAGAGAAAGGAGAATATAAGTCCACCCAAAACTTGTGCTCCACTTTCTACAGCAGCAGCATTTACACAAGTCAGAGGATGGGAAGAACCCCAATATCCGTCAACTGATGGATGGATGAGCAAATCGTGGCACATCCACATGATGGAATGTGACTCACCCGGAAAAAGGAGTGAAGTGCTGCTACGTGCTGCAACGTGTATGCGCCTCAAAAACGTTATTTTAAGCAGAAGAATCTGGTCCCCAGAGACCACACACACACACACACACACACACACACACACACACACACACTCACACTCTGAGCTCATTCACGTGAAACGTCCAAACTGGGCAGATGAGCAGAGACGGAGTGGATCGGCGGCTGCCTGGGACTGGACGGCCGGAGAATCACAGCGTGGTGGTTATCGGGCAGGGTTCCAGTTTGGAGTGATGAGCACGTTGGACAGTTGGTCACGGCGATGGCTGCGCACCTGTGGATGTGCTAAGGGCCATTAAACCGTGCACTTGAACGCGTGAATTGGATGGAACGTGGAGGGCATGTCACCGAAGCCGTTAAAGAGCCCCAGCACTCTAACAAAGAGATGCTCTCTTTTCTCTGCCCGTGTCCTTTGACACGAGTGGCCGTGATGCTGCGGCACCACGAGATCCCGCATCCAGCTCGGTTTTGCCATCACCTCTCCTGGTGCCACGTGGTGTTCACCACAGTGGCTTTGACTCTGTGTGCACGGTCACGGAGCTGGCTCCCCGGGCCCACGCTCTAGCCCCTGTAGCGGCTGGGGTGCAGCCCTGGCTGCCGGTGGGCACGGGAGGGACAGGGGAGGAAGGGGGGCCCCCACCTTCTCTGTTCTCGTGGCCGGCAGGTGTCTGTGGGGTTCCTGCCTAATTAGAGGTCAGGCGGCCTTCCTGGGGAGGATGACGTGCCGTGTAAGGAGAGGAAGGCGGAGAGGTGCAGCGGACCCCCGGTAGTAACTAGGGGGGCTCACCGGCCTCTGGCCCCCCGGCTCAGGTGTGTCCCGTTGCCAGCTGCCAGACGGCAGAGCCAGGAGTGTCCGCTCCAGAGAGTATCGTGAGCTGGCCAAGGGCAAAGAAGCCTGGTGGCAGAGGGGCAGGGTGGCCAGGAGGCTGCAGGTGCGAGGCCAAGGATGCAGGAGCAGAGGGGGGCCGAGGGGTGAAGCCCCCCTCCCCAGAGGTCGTGGACTCCTCAACGGCCCCAGGCTCCGCCCTGTCTCCTCAGACTTGCCTTGGGCTGTGAAAGGCTCCGGGTCCCCCACCCAGTTCCCTGCAGGGCTGGGCGTGGTCTCCCGGCAGGAGGGTGGTTGAGGTGGGCAGCTCAGAGCTCCTTACACCCGAGGGCACCACGGCGCGACTAGGCGGGCCCGCGGGGACTGACACGGTTCTCTGTCCGTGCAGCGGAGCTGACCCCCTACCGCAGGCTGAAGCAGAAAAGCACCGGCCTGTCCAGGGAGCTCCCCTCGGAGGAGCAGGAGCCGTAAGTGGCTGAGGGTGGCCGTGGGCCGGACGGTGTGACCGGCCTGACCCCCTGCCCAGGACCGCGTTGCTCCGTCTGAGCCCTGAGCAACACGGGCCGTGGCTGGGGTCACGGGTGCCCTCTTGGAGCGGCCCGGTGGGGTCTGAGCCTGGGCTCCGCTTCTCAGAGACATCTCTGCTGGTGCTGCCCTGCGCCCCTGCGTCCCTCCCAGCCCCTCCCCCACCCGCTCCTCCTCGAGGTCATGGCTCTGCAACCACCCGGCCTTTCCAGAACAATCTCTTTATAGACGTACCCCTGTGGGCGTCCTGGAAGGTGCCTGCCCAGTGAAGCCTGCTGGGTGAGGTGCGGGTGAGGAGCGGGGACGGGCCGGGGGTGCGTCCACCCCGGGGCTCGCCTGGCTCCCGAGGCAGACGGCGTGGGGGTGCCAGGCTCACTCACAGTCGCACGGGGTGCCCGCGGGAGTGTGCTCCCCTCGTGCCGTGGCGCGTCAGGGTCTCTGACGCCACGGCATCGTCTCCTCCGGGCCCTGGTGGCGGGCTTTCAGGCGGCAGGGTGTGTTTCCCGCTCTAACCGGCCCCGTGCCGGACGTCCCTGGACGGGGACTTGGGGTCTTCTGTCCGCATGTGAGTGGCCATCCCGTGAGGGGGACGGCAGCTCCGGCGGGGACGGCCGGGAAGGTCCCGGGGCTCGGGGTCGGGCGGGCACGGACGGCGGGCCCTGCCCCACTGCCCGTGTGGCTCCTTTGCAGGATCCCCTTCTTCAAGTTCTGCTACCAGTGCGGCCGCTCCGTCGGGGTGCGCCTCTTGCCCTGCACCCGCTGCTACGGGATCCTGACCTGTAGCAAGGCCTGTAAGACCAGGGCCTGGGGTGACTTCCACAAGAGGGACTGTGGCAGCCTGTTGGCCATCGGTGAGTCCGGCCGCCGGGCAGGCTGCGTGGGGCCAGCTGTGTGTGAGGACACGGGCACCGGCCCGTGGGGTGGCTGAGCGAGGGGGTCGGTCATTCCCTGAAATCTCTCAGATTCAAGCCGCTTCCCACAATCCCCAGACGGGCCTGTTGTGTAGACATTGAGCCTACCTGGTCCTTCTCCCGGCGTCACGTGACCGTGGCTCCCCGGAGGTGGGCGTGGCCTGGGCTCCACAGAACTGGCACGTGATCCGGGGGCTCCATGGGACACGAGAGGGGCGTTGCTGGACACGTGGGGCTCTGCTGGGCACGTGGGGGCTCCGCTGGACACGTGAGGGCTCTTGTGGATGGCGGGGGATCCTTCTGGACACACGGGGGCTCCACTGGACACGTGGGGGCCCTGGTGGGCACTGGTTTCCCTGGATCACGGGGCACTTGGCCTTGGCGCTGCTTCTGGAAGCTTCCTGCTAGCCCACCCTCCCCGCCTCCCCTCCTTTGGGATGACCTGAGGAGGAGCTACGGGCTCGTGGGTGGCGACGCCACACCAGGGCTCCACGGCCCGAGGGTGCCAGTGCTGAGCACGGCTGTGTGCAGAGTTGTCCCCTGGCACTTGACCAGGCGGAGGGAGGGCCAGGTGTTGGCTGCCCTTTCTCGGAGCCTGTCTTTGGTGTGGTCGGACAGAGAGGCTGGGCTGATCCCGCCCTTGGGTCCGTGGCTCTCTGAGCTCTGACTCTCCGTCCTCCACGTTCACCCTCGGTAGAGTGGGGATTTTACTGGCGGGCTCCCGTGGGGTGCGCCTGGATTGGGCAAGGCGTGCAGACCCCGGGCTGGGAAGCCCCCCTCTGAAGAGCCGTCACGGCTCACGCTCCGTCCTTGCCACGCGTGCCACACGTGTGCGAGCGTGAAGCCAGGCGTGGCATGGTGGGGTGGGGGGGCTCTCGTCACCCCGTGTGCGGCGGGAAGCGCCGTGTCCCAGGTGGTATAGCAAGCTGGCAGGGCCCACCGGGGGTGGCCCTTCTGCGCTCCTGCCTCCCGGGGGCAGCCCGGGCCCTCACCTCCGTGCTCCCTGCCAGTTCCCGGTCCAGAGGCCCACCTGGAGGAACCGCACCTGCTGGAAGAATCCCAGTAATGGCGTGATGCCCGAGGCCCGGGAGGGCCCTGCGCGGCGGCTGGCGGGCGGCAGGCGGTCTGCACCCATGGGGCTGTGCGTGGCAATGTATCCCTCCTGGGATACCTCGCAATAAAGTGGCCCCACTGGGGATGTTTTTAACCCCTTCTGCCTTGCTCCGCCCCTACCCTAGGGTCTCCCTGGCCGTTCCTGCCCGGCGTCTGTCAGGAGACGGGCACGCTGGGTGGATGAGGGTCACGGCTGGAGCGCAGTCCAGAGATGACTGTGGGGAGGTCACTCCTGCGCCCGGGGGGATGTTTGGGGCCCCTTTCCAGGGGCTCCCAGCCCTGGGTCTCCATCGGTTCGGTTCCTGCTCAGAGACTCCAGGCTCCCTGCTCCCTACTGGTGTCCTGGGCGTTCATTTCTTCCATGTGCATTTGCTGAGTGTCTGTGTGGGTCAGGCACGCTCTAGAGGGCACGGTGCATGTGGAATTCACCTGTGACTGAGATGGAGGTGACCGTGGGGGTGCCTGTGGGTCGTCGGCGTGGTTGCAGCGATGCTGGGCCGTGGGTGGTGGGTCTGCTTTCCTGGAGGGGTGGGAGGAAAGGGGCAGTGAGGTCTGAGGACTGGGGTGTGACTGCTCAGAGCACTAGGTGGTGGGCGTGTGCAGGGGGCGGGGAGTGGGGCGGGCAGGTGGGAGGGATGGTTGGGAAAGGGGGGCACTGAGCCCGTGTGGGGACCCCAACAAGGCCGGCTTTTGGCTGGTCAAGGCAGCCCTGCCTGGGGCTGTTGTTTTGCCTGATTTCCTTGGTCTCTTGTCAGAGCTGGGGCTCCTTGGTGGCAAGCTGGCCGGGGGGCTCCCAGGCGATGCTCCCGTAAGGGGGTGAGGAAGGCGGCTGGGCAGGAGGAGAAAGGGCCGTGAGTGGAGCTGTGCGGCTTTGTATCAGCCCCGGAGAGGCACACGACCCCCCGCCCCCCCCACGTATCTGAAAGTGGGGGCTCGGTCGATAGGTTCTAAACGTAGCCACAGACATCTTTCTGTGCTATTAAAAGTTTTTCTGCAACATAATTTTCCCCAAACGAAGATGATTTTTATTGTGATGATGCACGTGTTTATACACCTGTTGTTTAAAAAAGAACACAACAGGGGCGCTTGGGGGGCTCAGTCGGTTAAGCGTCCGACTTGGCTCAGGTCTTGATCTCACGGCTCCTGAGTTCGAGCCCCGCGTGGGGCTCTGTGCTGACGGCTTGAGCCCGGAGCCTGCTTCGGATTCGGTCTCCCTCTCTCTCTGCCCCTTAGGGAGCAAATACAAAACAAATGTGAAACCACAGTAAAATAAACCGTTGGAAATCGTCCTGGTCTTACTACTCGAGGATACCCTGAACATACCAGGTTCTAATCTGTCATTGTGCGTGTGCGCACACAGGTTTTTTCACGTGTCCTTCCATTTGTTTTTAATTAAACGACCCATTTTGTGACCTCGACCTGCCTTTCTGATGCGCCAGGCGCGTCGCACCATCTCTGCGAGGGAGCGGAGGCAGGTGTGGCGCCCGGTGGCTTCAGGGCTCACCGGTGGCACAATGCTGCGCGCACACACCCTCCACCTCGGTTCGCAGAGGTGGTGTTTTCGGGTTTTCGGTGCGCTCTCGTCTTCCGCCGCCTCCTCTCAGCCTGCTTGTGAGGCTGGTGAGCGAGTCTACGCCCGGTCGCCCAGTGCCTAGCAAGCGTCGGCAGTAAGTTCGATGTCCCACCTCCCAGGGAGCGCGTGTACGCGGGGAAGTCCTCTGCACACGTGATCCTGTGTTTGGGCTTTTCCTCGTGTTACTGGAGATGCTCGCCCTTCCTGCCTCAGGAGCGCTCCCCCCCGGCCTCTTGTGCGGACCATCTTCTCCCAGTTCGAGTTTAGCTGCACGGGGTTTCTCACTCTGTCATGAAATCCGGTCCTTCTGGGTCGGGTTTGGTGGCAGGTCTAGGAAGCCGTCCCCACATGGAGAGGTTACAGGGCCCAGATTTGACAAGCGATCTTCACACGTTATTGTTTCACCTGTAATTTCGCAGTCAGCCTAGAGTGAATTGTCGTGGAAGATCTGCGAGCCGCCCGGCAAGAACTGTCCCGGAGGCCGAGTGATGACGGGACCCCGGGAACCCTTCGCTTGCCGGCCGTGTGTGCCCAGGGTGCCTGAGTCCCGGACTGTCCAGGCTGAGGCCCCTGCGGCATTTCTGTTTACCTGTGACGGGTGCCGGCCGCTACTGCACGCGGACGGGGTCTGCCGGGTCAGAAGGCGCCTTGTTGTCCTCGTGTAACTGTTCTGACGGTCCAGTGTGACTGGGAGGGCGCGGCGTCTGCGCTGGGGGGGGGCCTCCAGGCGGGGATGTGCCCTCCAGGCCCAGCTTCATAGTTTCCTGTGCAGAGGAGTCACCCCGGCTGCTCTCGGACCTTTCTCTCCCCCACCCACTCCTGTGGCAAGTCTGCTCAGCTCTGCCTTCGAAGTTGGCCCCAATCAGGCCACTTCCGGAACCTCCTGCCCCCACTGACCCTTCCCTCCTCTCTGTCCCTGCAGCCACCGAGGCTCCGCGCAGCCACAGGGCCCCCACGTTGCTCCCGCATCCACTTGGTGTCTGTCAGAGTCCTTTGCTTGGCTTGCTCCCTGCTCCCGTCGCTCACAGTCCCCCTTACGGCTGCTCCGGCCCCAGTGCCCTGCCCTCTTTCAAACATCCCTGTGGCTCCTCCTTTCCCGTTCCTCTGGAGTGGAGTCCTCTCTGCTTCTGGGTCGACCTGTGCCTTGAGCACTTCCTCTCTGGTGGCCATGCTCTGGGCACCTCAATATCGTAGGGGACAAGATAACCGGGTCCCTGGCCCCCGGGAGTCTGTTCTAGAAGGGAGAGCTCTCGTGTGGGAGATACGCCGTGTCTGCCAGACCCCGGGACAGGAACGGTGTTCCCGGGAGAACCTCAGCCGCTGTGAGGCCACCAGCCGGTTCGGACCCCGGCCGCACTGATAGCGGGCCCAGCCGGCCGCTGCACAGGCCCACCTCCCTTGGCGCCGGGGCTTTCCCGCTTCCCGTCCTGTCGGGAACAGCCTCTGGGCTGGTGGCAGGGTCTGCGGGTGCCAATGGAGTGGAGGATCCAGCGGGGGATCCCGTTCCTTTTTCGTGTCCGCGGCTCGCTCTTTATCCCCTCCGGGGCTCACACGAGCTGGCAGCGTGGCGGCCTTGTGTCGCCAGGGGAAAGCTTTGCCACCACCAGTTTCTTAAAAGGATGGAGATGCGTCTTACGGAAAGGTACGCCGAAGTTAGTCACTCCAGCTTGAGTCTTTGCCTCCGGACGTCACTTAACCCATTCATCTGTCTGTCCAGTCCCCCGTGCTGCCTGCGTGTGTTTTCACGTATGTGTGAGGCGCCCCCGCCTCGCCCAGTCTCCCCACCACCGGCGACGCTCAGGCCTGCCTCTGTCACCCAGACATCCTGCTCATCAGGAATCCGGTGCCTTCCGTCTTCAGAAAATGCTGAAGCAGCCGCCTCTCACCTCGCTCTTCTTTGCTGGGCACCGAGGCATGGGCGGGGCGGGGCGGGGCGGGGCGGGGGCATGCCTGCTCGGCGCCGGCTCTGTACCAGTTCCGTGCGGGGGCTGTGGAGACGCTGGCCCCGGCGGACATGCAGTGCGTCCTCTGACCCCTCCCAGAGCAGGTGCGTCCCAGCCAGCAGCCGCCCGTCACGTCCTGAGTGCCGTGGGCCGCCGGGCTGGTCTTCTGACTCTCAGGGACAGCTCGGACCTTCGCTGTGCCTGCGGTCGGCTTTCCCCGCTATCGGCCGAGCTGTTTCTGCTCCACATCAAGTAGAAGCTGGACACTGCCAGAGTGTGGAGCGAGGAGGGGCCCCCCCTGGTCGCCTGTCCTGGGGGGTCCTGCAGAGTTCAGCTCCCTCCTCGGAAAGTTCTGTGATGTCGCTGAGCTGCTCTACCTGCTTCCCTCTGAGCACGAGGTGCCCCGGATGCCCGGCTGCCGTGGGTGGACCCGCCTCCCCTCTCCTCTGGCTGCAGTGTGCACGCCCTTTGGCTCTCTGCGAACGTGGGAGTTCTGGTCACTCAGGCCCTGTTGCAGCGTGCACGTCCCAGGAGGACGAGGAGGCCTGTACCCAGGCCAGGCCCCGCGCCGAGCCACCACCCGTCTCCCTGCTGGCCTGCGCCCAAGGACCTTTGAGGCCCCTGCTTTGTGGACTCCTCTGTCATTGGGGGTCTGGCGCCCCTGGGACTGTCAGTCACATGCTGAAGGCGGAGAAGAGGTGCGCGTGCCCAAGTCACACAGGGGAGGAACACTCAGGTCTTCTGTGCTTCAGGGCGCTGCTGGGCGTGGGAGGAACGTGGTGGGGGTGCGCGGTCAGCGGGGACAGCGTGCGGGGCCTGGTGACTCGTGAGGACCTAGACACCGTGGAGGAGGCGGCCTTGGAAGGCCCGGCTGGAGTCCGTCTGGGGGCTCCGCCGAGCGTCAGGGCCGTGAGGGCAGGAGTGGAGGCCAGCGGGCGGTGGGCGTGGGAGGGACGGGTGCTCAGGGGAAGGGCCTGGTGGGACAGGGGCAGAGCTCGGCACAGAAATGCCCGGCACGTGGGGGGCACCCGCGGGAACCGGGCCACAGAGAGTGCCCACGGTGGCTCACGGGAGATGCGGCAGAGCCCTTGGGGTGGACGTGGCCCGTGATGGACGATCACCGGGACACGAGCTTGCGCTGGGGGCGGGGAGTGGTCTCGGGGCTCTGCCGTGGGAAGAGGGCTTGCCCCCAGGACTGGGGAGGGGGAGCCCGGAGCGTGGGACTTTCTCCTGCCCTGCTGGACTGTGGAGGGTGCGTGTCTCTGTGCGTGGATGTGTGTAGACGGCTGCTTGCTGAGTAGGCAGAGCGCTGGACTTGACAGGCAGCTGACTCAGGCAGCTCTCGGGGGGCCAGTTTGCTGAGAGCGGTCAGGGGCTAGCCCACCTGCCCCGCCCTCCGGTCCTCCAGCTTGTGTGTGCTCACCCGTCCCCGCCCCTTGCTCCTGTCTTCCCGCCCCTCCAGGCTCTACTCAGCCACCCCCCTGGACCCTTGGGGTCCTCTCTCAGGCTGGGAAACAGGTGGCCTGCCCCAGCCCCGGCGGGCCGCACTGGGAATCGAGGTGGGGCAGGTGGGGGCAGGACAGCAGAGGTGCGGGCTGTCACAGGGTGACCAGATGGCAGCCTCAGGGCGAGCTTGGAGGCGCCTGTGGCTCTAGACGGAGTTGGGCTGTGGCAGAGCCCAGATCAGGTTTAAGAGACGGTCAGGAAGACAGTGGGTGAGGGAGGGAGGCTCAGGCTGGGGAGCTGGCCAGCAGGACGGGGGGCGAACGGTGGCTGCAGCAGGTGTGCTCTGGGGGAGGTAGGGTCCAGGAGGGGACCCTGCACCAGGGGACGGGTGCAGGGGGGTGCTGGGCCTCACTTATCAAGGGAGCCGATGGAGCCGGGCAAAGATGATGGTCTTCAGGGTGCGGGGAGGGGCAGAGGTGCAGTGGGAGGGCCAGTGCTGGGGAGGTGGAGGGACTAGCCCGGTCGCCACCGCCCCCTCCCCAGGCCTTCCATACCTGGGCTCTTGGGAGAGCGGGCAGAGCCCCGAGGGGCAGCCGGGTAAGGTCAAGGGAGCCTTGGGAGGAGACCCCCAGGAAGCCGGGAACAGGGGTGGTTCGGGGAGCCTGAGAGGGGAGAGGCCAGAGATGAGCTCGGGACGGAGAGGGACGGTCGGTCCGGAATGTTGGCGATGGACACAGAAGGCCTGGAACCCGTGTTTGTCAGGGTTCCGCCCGGAACCCAGCGTTCTGTGACTGCTGCAGAGATGGCGTTGGGGTGGCCAGGTGCATCCTGGGAAGGACACCGAAAACCCAGGGCCGGGAGCCTGGGTTCCTTCCCAGCCACAGAGCGGAGGCACCGCTCCCCCCGTCCCTTGGAGCCTGGCGAGCCAGCACCTGCCCCTGTCCCCTTCCTCTGGCCGTGTCCGCAGACTGACCACAGGCCAGGGTGGCCAGCTTCGTTTTGTTTGTGGTTTGGGCCCTTTTATTTTAAAGAGCCGCCCCTCCTTCCCAAAGTGTCAAGGCTCTGCAAAACCTGGCTCTGACCTGGCTCAACACTGCGCATCTTAAAAAATCAACAAAATAACGAGAGGAGCCCCTGACGCACCACCCCCCGCCCAGACGTCCACACGGACCTCTGCTCATCTGATGTCTGGTTTTTCCAGAAGGGAACCGAGGTGCAGTGAGGCCTTCCGTCTTCTCCCTCGTGAGGTTCTCTTTTCATTCCTGCGTCCCTAACAGACTCATGGGATTGCTTTCCACTGTGAGACTTTTCACATGTATTCAATTTTTAGTTATCCTGTGTATTATTTATTGGCCATTTGGAGTCCCCTGTCTGTGATTTAGCTCTGTGTGTGTGTATCTTTGCCCACCGTTTTCTACGCGATTGCTTTTTCCCTTGATGGTGGAAGGTTCTTACATATTCCACGGCCTGCATTTCCGCATCTGGTCTTTCTGGTGCAGGACTGAAGGCTGACGCGGCCGCGGCCGGCCACATCTTTGCGTGTCTGGGAAAGGTCGCTTCACCCTCAGCTCACGCTGTCCTGTTGTCTTGCCCGTGTTCCGAAGCGTCGCTTTCCACATTTTTGTCCGTATTCCTTCCCGATAGATTTGTTGTTGCCAGTGTGACGTAGGGGCCCTGTTTTCTCTTTCCCCCTGTGGCTGGTCCGTGGCCCAGCACCATTTATTTCGTGCCCTCTTCTCCCCCAGCCCCTGGCAGCTGCTCGTGTGCTCCCTCCCTACAGACTCGCCTTTTCCAGAATTTCATCCTGAGGGACTCAAACCGCAAGGTCTTCCGTAGCCTGGGGGCCGCAGTCAGGCTGACAGCCAGGGGACCCGCAGGTTTATGGGAGCCCCCCACCCACCTGGAGGCCTGGAATTACTGCCAACCCACCTCCTGGGGGGTCCCTGCCTCTTGTGGGGGGAGTCCCTGCCTCCTGGGGGGTGCCCGCCTCCTGTGGGGAGGTCTCCACCTCCTGTAGGGGGTTCCTAGCCTCCTGTAGAGTCTTGCCTTCTGTGGGGGTCCCAGTGGGCCATGTCCACCTCTCCCCAGGGGTGGTTCCCTGCTTTCGCAGGGGTCCTGTGGGGGGTCCCTAGCCTCCTGTGGGGTCCTGCCTGCTGTGGGGGGTCCCCACCTCAGCTTCTGTTGGTGCTTTCCCCAGCCTTTTGTTTTCTTTTAAACAATGGACGCGTTCTAACCTGACGATTTCCATCTCTTTCTCTGGGATACCACACAACACCGAATTTGTAGACCGCTTGTCCTCTTACCCATGTTCTCAGGCTATGGCTCTGGGCACTGGGTGTTCTTGGCATGTTGTAGTTTTTCATTTGAGTTCCCATCACGGGGCATTTGTCACTCCCTCTCCCGTGATCGGAGGGAGCCCCGTTTCTGGGCGGAGCCCTGGCAGCACAGCTCTCTCGGCCCGTCTGGCCAGCAGAGAGCTGCTGTTCCTGTGTCCAGGCTGCCCGGGGTCGGCTCCAGCACCCCCCCCATCCCCCAGGGGCATTTCTGTGTCTGCCCCACCCCCACACTCCGTGTGGCCTACAGGGACCCTCACTCAGGTGACCTCAGACGGCTCCTGACTCTGTAAATGTCCTTGACTCGTCCAGCATCCTGAGGTTCTGTGGAGTGGGGGGTGGGGGTGGGGGGGGTCATTGCAGTCGAGCCACCGTGCGGCTGTGACATTTCAACGCCAGACATTTCCCAGTATTTTCTCCCGCTTGTCACTCTTGCTTGGGACAGTGGCTGACGTGGCTGTGTATTTTGAGGTTCCTTAGAGGGTCCTGGCTGGCTGGTTTCTCTGCTTTCCCAGGTGGGGCCCCGCAGTGCGGGTAAGCTAGAAACGTCTCCCAGCCTCAGGGCCACGTGAGGGGTGGAGGGATGTGCTTAGAGCCACCACTGCCGCCCTTCACAGGCCGCGGCACCTGCCCTGGCCTCGGCCCGCACTCTCGACGGCTCCGACTTGTGACTTGCCACCTGGCTTGTTTCCAGAAGGAACGTAGCCCCTGGTTCCAGTCTTTCCACGTTCAGTAGGGTATGGGGTGAGAGAATCTGTTCTCTATCCTGAACGAGAGAGCTAGCACTTTGATTATAAATGTGATTTCTGTCTCCAGGTGAAGGAAGGCTGGTGTCACCTGGACGGGAGCAGAGCGTGTGCCCCGTGTGTCCCCTGCAGAGCCCCACTCTGGCCTGCCCGGGCCGCCACGAGGGGCTACGCAGCAGCTGGCCGCTCTCTGCCAGCGGTGGGGGTGGGGGTTGGTCCGGATGCCGGTGGCTTCCTGGATTCCCCAGAGGAATGAATTGGGACCAAGAGCCAGGGAGGGCCCTCTCCTCGACCATCACCTGGCCGGCTGTGGGCGGGGTGGACCCTCCCCACCTGCCCCCCCGCCGTCAGCTGTCCTGTGGTGACGTCCACCTCACTTGGGTCCTCTCTCCCCAGCAAGGAAAACGCATCCGGCTGGGCGCACACCCAACTTCCAGAAGACCTCGAAGCATCTGGGCAAGGAGGCGAGCCAGAAGCCGGAGGCTCAGAAGCCACCACGCCAGTTAAAAGGCTTCTATTCCACGTACAGCCACGAATGACTGTCTAGAGAGACCCACCTGCCCCCTCAGGGAGGGAGGCCTTCGCCCCCACCCTCACCTCCTGGGAGGAGCTAGACCAGGGGCCACCCCGGGACCCCCGGGAGGCGGGCGACTGAGCCCGAAGCCTCTGCTCTGTAGGGGAGGCTGGCGTATGGCCCAGGGGCCATCGAGGAGCCGCAGGCCCTGGAGAGGCCCCCCCCGGCCCCCCCCCCCCGCGCCAGGGCCGTGTCTTCCCTCCCAGGACACACTGCCCGGCTAAGCAGAGTCCCGGGCCGGGGCCGGGTCGCTGGTTCCTCAGCACTCCAGGCCCGTGGGGACAGAGAGGCTGTGCTGAATGCCTGCCAGGCCCACCAGTGTGGCCGCAGTTCCCAAATAAAGTGGCCCTTTAAGGCAGCTCCAGCTTCCGTGTTGGCCTCCAGGCTCTGGCCGAGGAGCTGGTCACGAGGTCCCGTGCTGCCTGTGGTACCGGGTCGCAGGGCACCCCGTGGGGGTGGTGATGGGGCCTGGCAGCTGTGCCCCAGCGATGACGCAGGACTCCGCTTGGTGGGGTCTGGTGAGGTGGCAACAGACTGGACCGTCAGGATGTCCAGCCAGACCCGGCCTCACAAAGCTGGTCCCCACTTGGCGGGAGCTGGAACCTTCCTGGGACACGCATCAGGATGTGTGTCCAGGGCAGGGGAGGAGCAGACAGCAGGTGGGTCCAGGCCTCTTCCGTCTCACTGGCACTGAGCGGGCACAGGGCAGGCCGCTGAGACGCGGACCCTGCAGCCTGGGGGCTATGCCGCCCGACGCGGTCTGTGTCCAAGCCCTCCCCCACCCCCCAAGACGCCGCCCCGAGTCACGTCTGCTGTGCACAGCCCACGGACACATGCTCACCCCCGAGCTGGGCAGGATGGGGCCACCACAGCCACACGAGCTCTCCAACCTTTTATTCGTACAAGGACTCAAGAGCATGTGACGCCAGGTGACACCGTGCAGGGGGACACAGCAGGCCTGGCTACGGCCCGGCCAGCAACTGTGCTGGGGCCACCCCCTCCAGAGAGGCACACAGGGTGGGGATGCCCACGCGCGGCCAAGGCTGCCATACGGGCACGTGGGCGGCCGCTGCCCCAGAGCCCCCGAGAGTCCAGCTGGCCTTTGCCTGCTGGGAAGGAGGCCCCAAGCCCAGCCCTCTGGGGTGGCAGGAGCAGAGTTATCACGAGGTGGGGGTGCCCGTGGGGGAGCGCTACCCGGCGGGGCACAGGCTGGGGGCCCTGACCAGTGCAGGACGCAAGGCAAAGCAGCTCGAAATGGCCTTTGTCGGGTCCCGGTGCTGGCTAGGACTGCTGTGCCCGGCCACGGGGCTCAGCATCCGACAGACCCGTGAGGGTCCCCTTGCCTGAGCCCCTCTCTGGCAGGGCCCAGCCCCCTCCCCAGGACCCACAGCAGCTAGGGCCCAGGAGGGAGGGAGGATGGCAGGGTCCCGGGCCCGGACAGCCTGAGTGAGCAGAGGTGCGCCCAGGTCCGGGAAGCCCAGGTGCCTCCAAGCTCTGGGAGTAGCTGAAAAGCAGCTCTGGGTGAACAGGTGGAAAGCGTCTGTGAATGTATGTAAGTTTGGAAAAGCCCTTAACTGTCAAAGCCCCCTCCCGGGCCCCCTGCAGCTGGTGGGGTCAGGAAGGGCCAGGCCTCCTGGCCGGGCTGAAGTTTCACTGGCCTCCCTGCGTCCTGTGGCCATGTGTCCCCTCCAGCCCTGCCTGCCCCACCTCGAGCTGGGGGCTGCAGGCCTGGGGGCGGTGAGAGGCAGGGCTCGGGCAGGCAGCTCCCGCACGCGGCCGCAAGTCCCCGTGCAGGCGTGGGGCCCGTGTTTGAAGGGGGCACCCAGCCTGCTCTCCCGGGATGGCCAGGACCGGCACCCCCAGCCTCACGTGAAGGTCAACCAAGGGCGGGGCCCGGAAGTGGCGAGGCCGTGCCCATAGCGGCCCACCTGTGTGCCCCAGACCCTCGTAGCCAGTCCTTGGCGAGAATAAAGTCCAGACAGACTCATCGGCAAGGGTGCCTTCCCAGTCAGAAGTCGCCCTGACACTGAGGGCCTCGGGGGGCGGGGTTGGGGGGGGGCACGGCATCACGGGGGCCTGGCGGAGTCAGAAGGGTTCATGCATAATCTCAAAGCCCCTGCTAGACCCTGGATGGCAGAAACCCTGATGCCCTCCCAGGGATTCTTAGGCATCCAGGGGTGGGCTTTGCTTTCTGACACACGGAGCCCGGAAGTTCTCGGCAGGAGGAGGCAGGAGAGGAAGGCACAGGCTCGCACTCTCCAGCGGGACGCTGCTCGGGGAGCTGGGGGAGAGGTGCGGGCAGGCAGGCGGGAGGTGGCCACCGGCATCCCCCAGGTCCCTGAAATACATGGCTTTTGGGGACATTGTTCCCGGCTGACCTGAGGCCCGCATACAAAATTAAAAGCCAGGGTGGCCGGCAGGACCAGGGCCCCCTGCCCCACCCCAGCACAGTCCCAGAGCCGGGGCCCCTCACTGTCCCTCCCTGTCCTGCCCCCGGGCCTCTAGGCCCAGCAGAATTAAATATCGTCTGTTTTGCGTTTTGGCAAAGTCAGTTCTTGGCCTCGGTCCCTGGGGCCTGCGGCAGTTACCGCCACGTGGGCCTGGCGGCCGAGAGGACCAGGGAGAGGAGCAGCATTAGGGACACGCAGGGCCGGGGGCAGCCGGAGGCGGAGGTCTTCTGGCCCTCCCGCTCTGACAGGCCCGGGAGGGCGTGGGTCAGGGTCGTCCGTGGGCTGGAGCTTTTCTTGCTGACTCTCCGGCCACAGAGGTCGTCGGGGCAGCTATCCCCGCTGCCCGAGCCACTGCTGTCGTCACCTGGGGAGGAGAGGAGGCTCCAGCAGGCCCGCCCCACCGTGAGGGGATCCCGGGCACAGCAACCGTCCACACAGGCCTCCCTCGGTCGGCTGTGCCAGTGCCAGCTCCACCCTGAGCTCCCTGACCTGCCCGGGCCTGCCGGGTCCGTATGGACATCCTGGCCAGGCCCAGCTGTGCTTGGGGACACACGGGTGGGGCCTGCTTGGTGTCTGTGTCCAGACAGCAGCAGCATCTCCCTGCCACCGTGGGGGCCTGGGGGCTGGAAGGGTCTCTCCAGGGCACCCTTGCCCGGCCCCGCCCCCGCCCCCAGGGCCCCGCCCCCAGGGCCCCGTCCCCAGGGCCCCGCCCGCACTGGCGTCCTGGAAGTCCACGTCGTTGCCATTGTAGGCGCTGCGAAGCCGGTTGGTCATGACCTTCAACTGCATGATCTGTTGGCGGACCGTCATGTCGGGCTTGGTGATGTCCACCTCCACCTCAGGGTTGTTGATCTGATTGGCCAGGCCATCACCCATCACTTCCGGGAGGTACCTGCGGGCCAAGGGCAGGCCCTGGGTCACGGCCTGGTCCCTGCCAAGGGGCAATACCCTGGCACGCCCTCCCACACCCCTCTTCTCCTGCCCAGGTGCTGGCAAGCTCGAGACCCCCAGTGGCCTTTCAGGGGCCGATGGGAGCCCACAGTCGCGGGGCGCGGGCACACGGAGCACGGTACACGCTGCCGGGAGCTGGCCCGGGTGAGGGTTTCCTGTGTCCTACTGCGTGTCTGCGCACACAGCACTTGGTGCCACAGGCCACACAGGCCCAGGTGAGACCGCGAAGGGGGGCCGGCCTGTGGCCAGCCAGGTGGCAGCACCTACCGGCCCTTGGCCATGCCGTTCCAGCAGCGGTCGTCACTGGCGGTGCTCATGGCCATCTTCTCGCTGCACAGCATCCCCGGGAGGCTGATCCAGAAGTCCTGGGCATCTCGGAGCTGTGCCTTGGCCTCGGAGACCTGCAGGGCGGGAGTCAGACCACGGGGCGCCCTGCTCGGCCTGCCCTCCCCTCCCCTCCCCTCCCCTGTCCACCCAGGGCCCGGCGGGCTGAGGACCACTCACCAGCTTCTCCAGTGAGCCCGTGGGGGGCCTCTCCTGTAGCACCAGCTTGCCCCGGCGCTGCTTCTGCTCAGGCCCAGAGCTCTGGGGGTTCACCTTGGGGTTCCCGCAGCCCTGGATGACCTGGGGGAAGACCGTAGGGGTCCTGCGGGGGCACGAGGCCACATCCAGGATGCCACTCCACGCCCACCGCACCCTCCTGCCCGCACCTTGGCTGTGAGCGTATCCCTGTTGTCCTGGAGGGCGTTGATGGCTTCTGCGAGCCACAAATGCACACTGCCGATGACACTTTCCGCACCCGATGGGCCCCAGAACTTGTCGGTGATGAGCACCATGGAGTCTGGGACAGGCATGGGCACACGCACAGAAGGCATTTGGTAAGTATGCACGCCAGCCAGGCCGTGTCCACACGCGAGCTCACGCGTGTGCTGATACGCACGCGTGCCGGCCGGCCAGGGGTCCGTGGGTGAACGTGTTAGTTCCTGTGTGTCGGCATGCACGCGTGTTGGGCACACGCGTGTGGAAGCTCACGTGTGCTGGCACATACTGAACTGGCCCACCGTGGGCGGGTGCTAGTTCACACGTGTGGGTGAGTCTCACGCATCAGCACATGTGAGCGTGTACACGGGTCAGCCTGCGGGGTCAGCACAGTTAGGACTTACCGGTGCCGGAGCGCGGGCACGCTGGCCCACCTGACGTCAGCAGCGTCAGCTCACATGTATTGATGTGGATGCGTGTGGGCCCCCCACGTGTCGGCACGTGCACAGGCCGGCTGGCCCACCGCATGCGGTGGCCCGCCTTAGGTCACGTTCATGTGGGCACGTATGCGTGAGGGGGCCCTTGCTCAGCGGGGAAGGGCGAGGAACTAGGACCCCGCAGGGCTCCATCCCAGGCAGCAGCCTGCACTCAGAATGGCCTCCCTGTCTCTTGACCCCGGGTCACCCTCCTCCCAGGGCCTCTGGCCAGGCACTCCCGAGGACAGGACTGGCTTTGTCCCTGCTCTGCTCTGGTGCGTGGTGGCAGCGAGGGCTCACCCAGAAGGTTCCTCCACTCGGCGTCGAGGTCGGCCTGGTTGGCCAGGCAGCCTTTGAGCACATTGCGGCAGTAATCAGGGCAGGGCCGGGCGCCGGGGACCCCCAGGCAGTGCGCGCAGTAGACCAGCTTCATGACGGCCCTCGAGCACTCCGGGCCCAGGGGCACCTGCGGAGCCAAGGCAGCCTGAGCCCAGCCCCGCAGCTGGGCGTGCCCAGCCCCCCAAGGAGCCCCGGGCTGGAAGGCTCTGGACAGAAGTCAGGAGGCCTCAGTTCTGCCCCACCCACAGTGGGACCTCCGCCTGGCCCCGGCCCTTCTTGGGGAGCCCCTCTCTTCTCAGATGATCAAGCAGGCCCACGGGTCGTGGGACCACTCATCCTAATGACTGCTACCGTCCTAGTGAGAGACTCCCTGGAACACTGCCGTCACCAAGCCTCACGGGGGAGCGTGAATAGGTCTGTGTGCCATGCGCACGAGGGGACTGAGGCTCAGGGCTGGGAGGAGGACCCCCTAAAGGACGCCAGCTGGAGGCAGAGAGACGGCTCACACCCAGGGCTGTGTGGCTCGGAGGCCGATGCCCTCCCCCTCCCTGGTTTGTCACCAGGGGGTCTGACTCCAGCTGCCTCTTTGGGGACAGGCCTGCTGGCCCTCGAGGCCTCAGGCCCCGGCCAGAGGCCTCCGAGCCAGTTACCCTTTCGACTCCCGGCCCCTGACCCCACAGTCGACTCGGCATCTAGCTCCACACCTTCTCCCTTCTGGTCCTGCATGGGACCCAGGCTGGCTGAGGATGGGACCGCCCGGCTGCCCCCACCGGAGCTCAGGAGCTCAGTCGCGGGACATTGGGCGTGCTGTAGGCGGGGCAGGGAGCCGGGCCAGGAGACCCCGGGGCACGGGGCGGGGCCGAGATGCAAAGCAGCGGGGGCGGGGGGCGGGGCCGAAGGGTCCCCGAG